AGAAGAAGCCACCTCAGCGAAATGGAAGCTGCCCTCGAGGTACAAGATGTTCCTTGTTGTCCACAATTAGCTGGCCAAAGATAATTCAGTATAGTGGTGTGATATAGGGCATGGTACCTGTTGCTGGTATTGTCTTGTGTATCTAATGGTGATTAATGGTTGAAATGACCCTCCTACTTTTATTGGTTTCTTATAGCTCGGAGCTGCTGCCCATGTCCCTGATGCAGAGACCAGACTGGCTCTGCTGAAGAGGTCGGCCCTCAAGACGGTTCAGTCTCAGTCCAGGACTTTGCTCTATTGCACCCCACATTCAGAAGATAGCACTTTAACCAAGTTACAGCACAGTGGCGCACACTCAGGCAGCAAGAGCAAACGGGATAAGTTTCTAGAAGTGAGTTTTAAAACCATTACACTGGATTCATTAAACATTTAGAATGATATAGTCCAAACTAAGTATTTGCACATTTCTTTGAATATTGACAACTCTCTCACATTAAAGCTGAGGCTTGGCACTATAATATCTGCTACTTTATTTCAAATTGAGTGTACTGAAGCACAGAGCCTGAAGAACAAAATATCTTTCTAACTACTGCTTTGATACTAACTGCTGTTCAGTGCAGGGAATGCAGTTTCAAATTTGCTTTATTAAAAATTCAGGATGCTGACATAAAATATTCACTTTAACTCATTTCATACTAAAAAAACTTTTTGTTTTTTGTTTTAGGTGGCCAGAACCCTCTTCAGTGATGAGTGCCTCAGGCCATGCCCTCGGTGTCAGCATCCTGCAAGGTGTCGCCCAGTGAAAGGGGAAGGTGTGTGCAGCAGAGCCAGCTGCGGGTTCCAGTTTTGCACAGCCTGCTTGTGTGCTTTTCACGGCTCTAGAGAGTGTGGCAGCCAGTCTGTAGGCCGACGCAAAAAGGACATCATTCTTCCAGGAAGCGCACAAAGCAAGAGAAACGTTAAGAGACTGTGAGCAGAAACCGAACCGCGTTCTCGTTGTGCCAAAGTGTCTTCAGCTTTTTTTTTTTTTTTCTGCCTTGTGATGAAGACGAGGCTTGGCAACAAGGAGACTGATTTGTAGCCAGTACAAGAACAGCTTTAGTGCTCATCAATTTGTCTGTCTGTTTATGTGTTGTATTTTTTCCCTCAACACAATTCTAACTTCTTTGTTTTTAATTATGAATGTCAAGAAAGACACCGGCAGTACGATTACATTTTGCTGTTGATGCACTTGTCTGTACACATTTAGATGTACAGAATGCTTGTTGGAATTCCTCAGAGTTTTAACTTTTACCAATGTGTTTTCAGATTAGTTTTAAAATAAATTTGAGGATTTTTTTTATAAAAAACATTTGCCAGTTTCATTTTTGAGGGTCTCTTACAAATAATTTTTTGCGGTGTTTGTCGCCATCTAGTGGCATGTTAGTCTTAACTGCGACAAATGTAGCTGTCAGACTTTTTAAATTGCAAGTGATCTTAATAACAGTAATGTAAATTCTATGAATACTTTTATTAAAAGTTTTTTTTTTTCCTCAGACTGCAAGAAGAACTGCAAACCTATGTTTGTCACCCCACCCCCAAGTCTTCTCTAGTTAAACTTTTACTGCCCCCTGTGTTTTGACATGAGTCCACCTCCATAGCAACCTGCCTTGTGTCTGTAATTACACCAAGAGGGTTGGCCGGTCTGAATGTGTTCATATGCAGCTGCCTGGCTCGACTCTACAGGCATTTGTATTTTCAAGGTTATCATGTGTGGTGTTGTTTCAACAGGTAAGAGCACTGCTTTCAATAAGTTTGACTTTTCTGGTGTCGCTGAACTGAGGATAGTTTGGTAACTTTTTTTTTTTTCTTTGAAGAGTTTCCCCATCTTACTGCTGCTACATTTGTGAGTACAAGTTTTTATAAGTGTCTTGAATTCTTGACCTCATTGTTCTTTTGGGTTTAGCAGACTTTGCCTTTTCAGTGTTTAACACTTAATTTGTATCCATACAGGAGAACTGTCTGGCATCTGATGGTGTATTGGTTCACTTCTTCAATGCGTTCTTAAGTCTCCCGGTAAAGTATTTCAAATGTGTAGATGCAGCATATTTTTGACAAAACCTATACCTCTATATATCCTGACATCTTTTCCCAGTCTTTCCCTGAGGCTGTGCTGTACAACCAGGAGACTGGGTTGTTTGAGGTGGAGAGTGGGGCGGCTGAGCTTGTCTCCAGAAGAATCCGATCGGCCCTACACCACAGGAAATTGCAACTCCTTGCTGGTGACCCTGTAGTGCTGATGGGAACTCCTCCTGTAGACAACCATTACACTATCTATGTAAGTAGTGAATGATTATTTTAGCTGGAAATCAACAACAGCACGTATAGTTTTGAAGATGCGCAGAAGTTTATTCTAGATTTAGAGGGTTGGCTTGAGGAATCTGTCTCCTTGACCTTTTTCAGTGCCTGGACAAAGAGCAAGGAATTCAGTGGATTGTGAAAGAAAGATTGCCTTTTTTCCTTCAGAGTGATTGCTACATTGAATACAGGTACTATACGTACTGGGTGATGTGTGCTTTGGACCTACTATATGCACCACACAAATTAGCTTTTACCTGTCATATTGTGCATAGTTTTGAATCTTTTTTTGTTTGTTTGTTTAACTTAGTTGTCAGTTTTGAGTTCCTGGCAGTGTGTCTGACAGCTCAGGCCTTTTCTTTCTGCCTTTGCCAACTTTACTGTCATTGCTTCAGCTAGTGGTTGCTGACCGGCCTAGATTTGAAAGATTATTGGCTTCACTCAACTGTGACACATGATAATTATTTTCAAGGAATGATTTAGTCAGTGACTATGGAGTGTGTACATCTAGTGTATTGTCACTGTTGCTCTACTTCTCTGTTTTAGTCTGCCTAATTCCTTATGCAGCATATGGGAGACCTAATGACCACACCCCTGTTCAGATCAGATGACTGACCCACATTAACTTGCAACCTACACACAGAAGCAATGACGACAATAGGCAAATGTTAATTTTGTATGTTAATGTATTAGAACAATTGCATCATAGGTGTCAAATGTAATTAGTGCTTTCAGAAAACTGTGGTTTGTTACTGGTGGTGTATCCACTTTCTCTGGTCTTTCCCAGACTAGCCAAACTGTTGTTTCAGTGGGACCTAAACCTCTGTATCCAGAGAAGGAAAACCAGCTTGGGTCGAACCACCCTGTCAACCCCACTACTGTGCTGTTCCTCCCAGTTGAACAAGGACAGTAACAATTTAGTGAAGGTCTTACCATGCTTGCATTCTCTAGAGAACATTTCAGCAAAACAAGGTATATACCCGTGAGTCTTCCATCTGGATATCTGTGTATTCTATACTGTTTGTGTGTAAACTGAAGTCTAGTTATGAAAATAAAGATTATCATGTTGTCTGTTTCTGTACTGTTCAGAGTCTATGAAGACGTACAACTTTACACGTTTTCCCTCTGGCCAGGAGGAGCATATTGATACAAAATGCAGTAAATCATCTGGATGTTTCTGCAGCTGTTCTAAGACAGAGAATCCATGTACCTGTTCCTCCTCTTCTATCCTTAAATGTGAAACAACCCTGGAAACCCAGAGCCCTCAAATGCACTTGAGCTCCTGTGTTACAGAGCCATCAGCTGGAAACCTGAACGAGCACTACCACCAAGAGTTCAGTAGCCTGAATTGTCAGTATTCTGATCTACAGGTGAAGCACCTGGCTACCAGTGTGATTAAACTGGTGGTTAACAATGCACTGAGTGTGATGGATGGTCAGAGCCAGTCAAACATTTCTAACTGCCTCAGCAACTCAGAAGACCAGACAGACTATACCACAGAGAAATCCTGTGAAGTTTGCCATCATCCAGCTGATGGAGGCAGAGAAACATTAGAGGGGAAGAAAGAGAAAGTTCAAGACGGCAAGAATTTACTGGAGGAACAAATAGACGGGGATAAAAAGAATGAGGAGGTGAAGAGTGAGGGCACAGGCAAAGAAAACATCCCTGGTATTTATTGCCATGACGACAGACCAGGCTTGGATGAGTTCAAGGAGTTTTTGCGAGGAACACCAGGAGAAACGATGATTAATTTCTGGATGGATATAGAGAAACTGAAAACCTTACAGAGCAGAGAGCAGAAGAATAGGTGAGAAGGGCATCATTGTAATCATTCTTAATGCACAACAATGCTGAACAGGCATACATACTAATTTATGTAGGTTCTAGACACTTGCAGGTTGTATAATGCATACAGATGCTAAACAAATGTACAAACTGTTCCTTCCCTAAGATGCTTACCATCATGAGATTATGTTGAATTAAAGCTTCTGGTTCCCCAACCCCCGTTGTTTTTATTTATTTTTTTTAAACTACACAAAAAAATGCAGTGTTTGTTTTTTAAAAATGTACTGTATGAAATATAATGTAAAGCTGTATGTGTTTCAGGTACCTGGTACTGATGAGGAGCCGGTACCTGCTGAGTAGCAGTCGGAGCAGTCTGAATGCAGAGCTGCTCTCCAGACTGGGCCTGGCTACGTCCCCCTGCTGGACAGAAGAGAAACTGTGCTCAGTCCAGCCCTGTCTAACCGAGGCTCTTCTCTTCTACTGGTGAGAGTCACATTTACTAAACTTAGTGTTTGAATACACTTAGCCAAATAATTTTGCATACGTCTAATTTATGCATAAATAAATGTCTTGTAATTTTCTGTCCTCCTCTCACAGGGCTCCTCGGTTCTGGACGTCCCAGTGTGTTCAGGGAGACCATGATGATGCCCCTAATGTGGGGCTGAGAACAGAGTGGTACTATAGCCCTCCATCAGGTGGACAGCCCTACTGTAGCTTCTTGGCCTTGCCTCTTTCCCGACATGACACCTGCTTACCACCATCCTCCAATATTGTTCATACAGAGGTAAGTTCTATGAGACCCCATAAATGTTTTAACATGGGAAATATTTTGTGAAATTGAGCAAAAAGTCAGAAGAGATGGAGCACTTCCTCTATGTTCAGTTAGTCAGTGGACAGAATGTTGGTATCAAATATTCTTGTAAGTCAGTTATCAAACACAAATGTCCAACTTCTCCTGTCTAAGAAGATGCTGCATTTCATATATCATAAACTGAGTGTGTCTGGATTTGGGACTATTGCTATGACAAAACAGGCAATTTAAAGATATCACCTTTGCACAATGACAATTGTCCAATTAGTGATAAAAATGAGTTGCAGCCCCAGTTTTAAGTGTTTTTGTCTTGTGCTGATTATATTGTGTTCTTATCTGTGTATGTAATTTGTCAGTTATATTCTAGTACAAGTGACTTACTTGGCAGCAGAGGAGTGGAACAGGTGTTACAGGCTCTCTGTTTTGAATCCCGGGCTGGCTTGTACTTCACACGCTTTTGTGAACAATCTGGAAACCAGGTACAACTGCAGCTAAATTGCACTTTGATATAGCCTGTCATATACAATTATGGCTTCAAAATAATATTAATAATTTGATTTATATAGCACCTTTTGAGAAACACAAACGGTAAAACCAACAAGAGTCAAAAGCATGTTAATTAGTCAAACTAGTTATAGTACATCAATTAAGAAAAGGCCAAGAGATAAAAGTGAGATTTAATGTGTCCTTCTCCAAAGAGTCTTAAAGGACAACACCAAGTTTACCTGCCTAAGGTTATCAGAGATGAAGTTCCTTAGACGAAGGCCTCAGGCAGTCGAGACTGTGGAACATTACGGTTTTTCTCTGTGACTTTAGTTCAGTTTTCAAATGACAGCTGAAGTTTTCAGAACAAGTTTTACATTCTTCACAACATTTAGCTTTTTCCATGTACTATAACAGCATTTCTCATTCTTTTCCCATTATTGTTTAACATGTTTCAGCAAATGATTAATTACAGCTTGAACCGTTATCAGTTGTGTTTGTCCTTTTGGTCAAAACCGATTAGTTGATTCTCAGTATTGAGTGATTGCAATGTGTACAAACTTGGCAACCTTCCAGAACGTGGCAGACCAGCAGAGTAGGGCTGGACCAAAAAAATCCAACTAGTCTGATATTCACTTTTTGAGTAGGTAATCAATTTTCAATTTTAGCATTTATATATTCAAAACTGCACCTCACCTCCACCCTGCCACCGCCACCACTGTACAGCAGGGCCAGTGACACCTACAATCTTATTAGCAAAGCTCAGTGTGGAAATTGCTCAGGTAGCATCTTCTTCTACTAATTGTCACCGTTTGTGGTTAAAATGACAACCAGCGGGGTCATACCAGCTGTCACTAACTAACCTTAACTCCATGAATTAAATTAATGACAGGACAAAATGAAAGTGGCTGCTGTCAGGTTTGTGACCTCACTTTGTATAAAGAATCATTTGTTGCTATGCAGTACTCCTTTGCTGAATATTTAGTTTTACAGTACTTGTTTTGAAACATCACAGTATATTTCCTGTAATACACAGTGCTGTGCTAGTGTTCTGTTTTCCACTTTACAGTATTACTGTCATTTATACTGTGCTGATTTTTACTGGTTACAGGAAACGAACAGTTTCCACACACTACTTGATTTACACAGTGCTAATAGAACATTTCATTTTGACAGGGCTGACAGTTCAAGCATAACTTTTGGAACATGAGCTGAAAGTTTTGGGTCAGGTATATCCTTTAGATGATGTACTACGGTATTGTGCTGTACGTACAGTATAAACTGTTCTGACAAATATGTATTAAGCTTTAGCAACGTTTCACGAAATGAGCCAAAGTTATTGAGGAAAAACTGTAACTAGCAGGCAGCATCATTGCAATAACAATGTGGAGCAATGACCTAGTGAAAACAGTTCAGATTTGATGTGACAGGCAGTCTGATTCCTTTATTCTGTCTCAGCTGTGGGAGAACGCAGTTTACTTCTGGACCGACCTGCAGCACTACCATGAGCTGTTCTACCAGGATGGGATGGACCCCTACAGAGTACAAAGAGAGGCACAGGTCAACACACAAACATGTGACCAAGACCACGGTTTGCTAAAGATTTTCAGTTTGAGACTGAGTGCGTTTATGAAGATGTCTCTACTTAGTTCAGGCTGGGTCAGCAGGCACCTTGGTGTGGGGGTTTTTCTGTCATAAAACGCTCCTTTAGCATAACTTTATTTTCATAAAATGAGTTGTGGGCTAGTTATTGTGTTATGGGTCTAAGACTCCATACCTGCTCTACATTTTTCAACCATTTTATTCTGGTGAGAAAGAAAACTACAGTCAACTGAAGAGTAACCTACAAATTTTAGCTTCAAATCACAGCACCAAAGACAAAGGATATGGCTGTTTTGTTTGTAGCTTCTCCAGCTACTCGTAGTCTGTCAATTTAAACTACTACATTCCAGTTCAGAGGAAAGCTACAGCCAACCAACTCATAACCAAGGGGAAAAAAGAGGTTGCAATTACAAAAATAACAGATATGTCTGCCCCTGGCTGCTGTGTTTGTGATTTGTCTGTACTCCACTTGGACAATGTCTCGACTGACTGAAGATGAAACACCAAGTATCTCTGGCCACGCTTCACTCAGGGATATTATACCAAAACTGAACTTTTGGGACTGTTCTTGGTCATGTTGCCAGCTTGTTAAAGAAATGATGTGACAGCTGTGCCCAAAAAGTTACATTTTGGTATAATATTCATGAGTGAAGCATGTGCTTGGTGCTTCATCTTCAGTCAGTAAAGACATGAAAGGGAGAAAGCAGGGACATATTTTGAAGGAATGCTAATCTTCCTGTTTTTGCTCCTGTTAAGTGGTGAAATACAACTGAAGCCTGTTCCTTCGCATTCTGTTGGCAAATGTAGAGGTTGAAGGGGGTCTGCAGTGGGCACAGTGTGATACACATACAGCTGAAGTACTGTCGCTGTCTACTGGCTTTGCACAGGACACTAGGTTTATTATGGAATTTAATCAGAATACAGATCCTGGCAGAACGACAGACTCTGTGACTAGTTGTGACAGAGTGAACTTTAATCTGTACCACAACAGGAAACCAAACAGACTGTATCTTAGCCCTGTTCCTCCTCTCGGCTTTGAACAAGTATATTTAGTCACTATACAACCTGCCAAAAGAGGGTTGAACTTAAATAAGTTGGCAAAATCAGATATTTTCATGAAATGAGTGATTTGGGACTTAAATCAAATGATGAGTTTAGAGGCCATCTTAACATGTTTGTCATGTTATGGACCAAGATCAACATCTAAATTCTAACTTACATGTTTTTTTTGCTCCAAGTGAAACTTGGCTAACATATCTCCACTAATATGATTCATGTCATGCTACAAAAAAAGATGGACTGGAAAAAAGAGAGATATTCTAAAGCCTCTGTAACTGTACTGAATAGTTTGGTTTCATCCAAAATAAACCAGCCTTTTACAGTGCTTCTTTTTATCCTGATCTCAAAGAATTGTTTAGTATTATTGGATCATTTCTTGCAATGAAACAATATTACTTGGAGATTTTAACAGTTTAGATAATAAGAAAGAAAAACTCAGAAGTATTATATCAAAATGTAAACTGTATCGAATGGTACCAAAAGTTCTAAAAGGTTGCAAAGCAATAATAGGTCTACTTTTCACAGATATATCAGGAGGAGTGAACAGGCCTGTGTTATCATGACATGGGCTTGTACAATACTTAGACTGCTTTTCTGTTACTTTTTTTTAACTTCTACTTATGGGGAAAGTTATGGCCAATTTAAAACCTAAAGATTCTCCATACACAGAAATGCAATAGATGCTTCCTTATGAATGGGTACCAGGAAAAATTATGAAGCACAATCAAAGTTGTGGAGAATACGTATATCAAAATGTGATAAACAAGCACTACTGCTCTGTTTTGCGTTCTCTCCTTGCCTCCCTCTACCTGTTCTACCTCTCACTAAGCTGAAAGATTTTAAACAAGCGAGTCAGACACCTCAGGTCTGAGTCAGTCCAGTCACCCAGAACCATTCTGCCCCCAGCTACAGCTAGACCAGAGAGGAAGCAGGGGTGTATGGTCCAGAACAGTCACAATGAAATCAGTTTTCCTTCACCAGAGGAATTCTATTTAGATGGTCTTTCCATAGTGTCCTGACCAGGAAGGCTGAATGAGTGACATTTATGTGGTGTGATGGCAGTAGAACACGTGTATGAGAGCGCTGAACAGTCGTGGCTGACATGAGAACAGTTTCTGAAGTGGCAACATATTTATGATCTCTCCTCTTCTCTTCAGCTCCTTTACGCCACATATCTGAACAGTTCTGCCAGAAGGAGCATTGGTGTGGATGAGGGCATTAGAAGGGAGGTGTACAACAGACTGATGCCTGCTTTTGAGGAGCTTTTTGACGAGGTAGAGGAACACGCTCTGAACATCTTGCTGCAGCCATGGACACTGCTGGTTAGCAGAGACAAAGAGTCCTTCCAGAAGGTAACGACAGCACACCTAAATTCACTTCCCTTTTATCCAGTGGATTTCCATTAGTATGTCTAGGTCAGCTGATTCATCAGAGAACTTGTCCTTCAAGTGGATAGACATCTCTGTTTTGACATGCATTTGCCCTACTGAAGTGATGTGGGGGAGGATTTCCCTCAAAATAATCCAGGAAGCGTTTGTTGGAGCACTCGAATATCTTAAAAGATCAAATTGGTTAGAATTATTATTTTGAGTCCGAGTGTTCTGAATTGTGGTTGTGTTCATGATTGGATTTAGGGATGCAACAGATTACTTTCATTATTATTTTGCAGATGATTTCTTGATTGTTTGGCCTTTTAAAAAAATTGGAAGATTCACAAACTTGGTCTGCCAAGTTGATGTTGAGAAAAGAGAATCTCACACAGCATCAGAGCTAAACAGACCCATGTAGAATAAAAGAACACTCTTCTATTTTGATTAGGAAAATTATTTTGTATATAAAAATAATTCCCACTTAATTGTGATTGACTAATCGATGCAGGTCTAATTGGCTTTTTGTGTGTCCAGGTGTCTGTGCAGGAGGAGGTGCGCACGGTTGACAGTCAGGAGTATAGGGAACTCCAGAGTATGTACCAGGAATCAGAGAGCCGACGGAAACAGGCCAGTTCAGCTCCTATGAACTCCACAGACTGATAACGTGTTGGTAGTCAGTTAACAGCTAATGAATGTAAACATTATTGTGAAAATGGTCTTTCTGTTATTAGACATGATGTCATGCAGAAAAATCAGTTGTTTTGCTCCGCAGCTGATTGTTTGTCTTTCTTTCTTGCCATCTTTTGTCTTTGTCTCTGGCCCTTGTTGTCTCCATCCTGCTGTATCTCTCCTACAGGTTGAGAAGTGCGGGTCCACGTTATTTCTCTCTCCTGTTACATGCTCTACTGGTTTCTCAAAAGCAGCCCAAGCACCTGAATCTTGGTCCAGTGTCTCTCCAAATTATCAAGGTTACCGTCTAGGTTCTTTACTTCGCCACCGCCCTGAGATTGGCCACTTTATGTCTTTTCTCCAGAATCAGGATGCCAGGTGAGCTGTCTAAGCTGCTCTCTAATGCAGATGTATGGTGTGTCTCCCACACAAACATATGCAGTACATTTACAGCAGTGGCCTGTATAGTTATAAAGGATGCAAGTGTACAGAGTACAATGCACTGAACTTTATGTGAAAGTAATATTTATGTTCTGAACATGTTTTTGTACAGTATCCATTTGACGTGCTGGCTGGATTTGGAGCAGTACAGGAGGACTCAGAAGGACACGGCTGTCAAACAAGAGAGGTCCTCTAATATAGCAACCAGATACCTCAACAGGATGTACTTCTTTGGCCCCAATAGCCCTGCCTCAGCAGAACAACAGAATGATGCAAGTCCCATCATTTGAAAAAGAAATGTCCAATTTTATCTACAAACATACCCATTTTGGTGACATTACAACTCCTTTGAGTGAATTACCGTCAGCTACCTGGGAAAGTTTCAGAGAAAGTACTTGTGACATAGTCACATGAATGGATTTGCCCTCCAGCTGAAGCTCAACATTCACACATGCCAAATGTGAATAATTTAAAGAAAGAATTGTGGATTAGTGCTGTCAATAGATGAAAAAAATCGAGTTTATCACCGTCATAGGCTGTGAATAGTCATGATGAATAGCAATTTTGAAGTGCTAGGATTTACTTGTATTATAAATGTGCAGTGTTGGAATAAAGAAGTGCACAGCTAACTGGTTAGAGGAAACAGATACTTCACTTTTATTAACATCTCAAACATTAGCATTTACCAAATATTTTTAATTAAAATCTCTTTATTGGCCGAGTACAAAGGTCTGGCATACTATGCAATGCATTGTGACATCAATTCAAATGAACGCAACAATGAGTAGTCCTATTTTAGAAACTGAATGCCATAGCGTCTTGGAGAGCCTTGCAATTTCTAGATTAATCACATGTGTTGATGCGTTAACATGGACAGCCCTTATAAGGCTACTGAAGCTTTTGCAGACTTCATGTTCAGAGTCCTGTCAGTAGTGAGTTGGTGGGGAACAGGGCAGAACGAGAGGAGTGAGGTTTGAATCCAAGAAGGGAAAAAGATCAGCTTCAGTAGCAATGACAGTAGGATGAGATCTCTCCTGACATTTATAAAGATGAGGTGCATGCTCGTGTGCACACAAAATGAGATGAGAGAAAATATGATGGTGATAAAAGAGCGTGATTGATTCATGAAGACAGATAGCAGACATGACTAAGAGCACAGCAGGAGTCATGCAGGAGAGTTTTCATCAGTTGACTTGAGTTTGTCCAGCTCCTCGTGGGTTTATAGACATTATAGATGTACACTCCTACATCCTTAGCATTCTATCAAATGCACAAACACACATACAACCATCTGTATACACTGTGGCTTCGACTGTGTCTGATGTTCTTTCCTCTCTCTCTCTCTCTGTGTGTGTGTGTGTGTGTGTGTAGATACTGCGCTTGGCAGGTGGACTGGAGCGTCTGACACTAGAGTCTCTCTCAAACTCGCTTGTTGTCAAGATCCAGGACATTGTTAGGACCCACATTGAAAAAACATGGCTGCCTCAGTTTCTGACCACAGCAGAGTTTACACAACGGCAGCAACACAAACCAGAGGTCAGTGGTGGAAGAAGTACTCCAACTGTTTACTTAAGCAGAAGTAGCAACAGCACAGTGTTACTGTGTGTCCTGCATTCAAAATGTTACAAAAATACAAAACTATTAGCATCAAAATGTACATAAAGTAACAAAAGTAGAAGTAATCATTATGCAGAATGACACAATTTGATGCATTATGGTGTACATCACATTGCAGCTGGTGAAGGTGGAGCTTGTTAACTTAGTGTTATTACTACTGGGTACTAGCTGGTGAATTTCCCACTGGGGATCAATGAAGTCTCAGGATTTGACTGTATTTTATTAGTCTGATCATGTGAGGTAGAAGTTATCAAACCAATATAGTGGAATAAACAGTAAAATATTAGTGGTGTTGAAGGAGAACAAAATGAAACTACTCAAAGTAGAAATATGTCAAAATTGAATTTAAATACAGTACGTCTCACCTCTGCCAAAGGTGGACATACTGATTCTTAACACTTTCCTTGTATTTTTGATGGGCTGTCAGCAAAAAGTGCACCTGTTCTGTTGGTTATACTGGAGGCACATAGTGCTCAGATAACCATGACTGGTAACTGTTGGTGGCATCATTACATTTACATATGCACAGTGAGAAAAATGAATTTGCTTCAAGTACTTAAGTTAGTTGAAGTACATCAACTACACTACAGAAGTTTTGTTTGCATCCAAGCACATACAGTACCAATTTGAGCATTTTAGCCACACTAGCATCGTCTGTTGGTCGGTCCATCACTTGTTTTTCTCAACAACTGGATGGATTGCTGTGACATTTTGTACAGACATTTGTGGTCCCCAGAGGATGAGCCTTACTGACTGTGAAGGTCACCTGACCAGCAGTCAG